GGAGGCCAAACTGGAGTTATTCTGTAGCTGGGCTGTAGGCAAGAGAACTAGGCTAACCAAATGATTTATCCCTAGAATTATGTAGCATTGCTCCCAACATCACCTACATTAAGACAACAGCTTCCGAAAAAATGTTTCATCCTCCTCTCCCCCAACCAGTGAGAATGATCCCTTTAAAACTAAATCGGAGCACATCACTTACAACCATCAAATAAGCCCTCATTTACCTGAGTCCAGGACAACTTTACAATAACCAAAAAAACCCCATCCAATGGCTATTACTTACTATGTTTTTACATTTTAATATTCTCCTCGGCAGGAATATTAGCTTTATATAAGCAGGACATTTTGTTTGGTGTCAGTGCTCAATCCATGCTTGTTGAATGAGAGAGTGAATTTAGAAGAAAGACCAGAATAAGGGGAAGCTAGAGGATGGGGGAGCAGTCATGAGGTACTGAAATTGACCAGATGAAAAATTGTGAGTCCCTGAATCAGGACAGTGGTGACAGGAACAGCATGACAGTATGTCTTTCAGAGCCATTTTTGCCATAAATTTGTCTGCCATGATGCTCGAGTCGATGCTGTGGATGAGGAGGAGGGCTGCAGCCTAAGCGGCTCCCAGTTTCTGGCTTGAAGAAGAAAGGAATGGTTTGAGAGGTGAAGCAGCATGAAGGGGCAGCTGCAGACTTTAGATCTGAAAATGTTAAGTTTGAGCAGGAAATGTTCAGTAAGCACTCAGAATAGCCCCTCTTCGGAGGGCGAAATATATAGTTTGTATCATTGTTCCATCAGTCTTGGTTAAAGTATCAATTGTGCCAGTTTAAGGACCATCATTAGAATGCACCTGCTAAGTCCATGGAGAGAGGCTGGGGGGTCTGAGGTACAACTTGAAGGGTTGGGAAACAGTGAAGATGTTGCCTTTGTTAGTCTGGGCCACCATCCTGGCTGTGAGCAAGAGGAAGTCTCAGACCACTGAGCCTCCCTCACGTTGATGTCTTCTGCAGTAAACAAAATGTGACAGTAAACAAAATGTGACAGTAAACAAAATAACACAGGCTTCTACAAGCCTGTGCACATAGGTTTGAAAGTCAGTGTCCAAACTAGGGGCTATACTTGGCCTTTCCTATACCCTGGAATATACAAAGACAAAAGGAGATTATGATGAAGTTGTTAAGATGAAGTCAGAGTGGTCATCAAACAGAAAACATAGCGAACACTTTTAGAAACAGAAATGGACTATGATGAAGACAAATTATCCAAGGAGCTTGTCTTTTATTTTTTTGAAGCAAAACATTTATTGGTACAGTTTAGACACACATAATGATAACACTCATCATAAGGAATTTGTACCTGTACGAGCTTGTCTTTTATAACTCAAACATCAAAGGAACTTGTGGCCGTGGAGAAAACTTTAATATTTGAAACCTCAGGACCCCTGTGGCTGTAAACTCCAGGAAATCTCACAGAATCCTCTTAGCTTGCTGAAAAAATCATGTAACTGTCATGCACTTAAGGTTTATAATGTGTGACCCCCTTGTGGGGAAAAATAAAGTGATATGGTTTGAAAATGAAGCCAGTGTGTTAGATTTCAGAAAAAATGATAGGGGACAGAAAATGAAAAACCATTGCTCTCTCTGGATCATTGTTCTGTAAAGCAAAAAACAAAAACCAACCAAACAAAAAAACTTTCCCTGCACCCAACTCCCTTGCATTCTTTCTGTTAGAATCAGTTTCGTGAAAGTTGCTTTCCTAGGAGCCAATAGATGTGCATTCACCAGATCCCTGTTGGATGGCTTGAATGTCCCTTGGCATTTTCCCAACCAGACTGGTAGCTCCTAAAGTTCAGAGGCAGGAAGTCCTGACTGCTGACAGTAACATGGTGGTACATTGTTTTTTACTTACTCGAACTTAGCATGGCCGTGTTTGCTTGTTTGTTTTGAGACAGGTCTTGCTAAGGTGTCCAAACTGGCCCTGAATTTGCAATCTTCTTGCCTCACCCTCTCAAATTATTGGAACTATAGATGTGTGCTATTGTGCCTGGCTTAGCATGGGCTTTTTACATTTTTTCCCCAAAATTTCATTTTCAGATGCCTCATTTGTGTATCCCTCAAGAGTAGGCAAAGATTTCCTTGAACTACAGTGCAGAACAGTTCTGTGTGATGGTATTTGGGAAGAAACCCTCCATTTCCCATTTCTTTTGCTGTCTACGTGTCTCCTCAAAGACGTCTCTTAAAAGCCATGTAGGCTGGGTGTGGTGGCACAGGCCTGTATTCCCAGCACTTGGGAAGCTGAGGCAAGAGAATTGCTGCGGAGTTCAAGGCCAGCCTGAGCTACATAGCGAGCCCCTGTCTCAAAAAAAAAAAAAAAAAAAAAAGCCATGTAGCCCATCCACCAGCTTCATTTCTCTATATGAGGAGACACAGCTCTGTGGAAGCCAAGGGGTTTTGTCCATACCACACTGCAGGCTTGAGGTGACTTGCACTATACTCACATCTCCCCTGTCATGTCGGTGACACACGCTCTGCCCTCCAAGGCAGTCACTGAAGGTCAATGGTGGTCTGGCTTCTTTACTGATCAACATTTTTATAAATTTGGAGCTGGGGATTTAGCTCAGAGGTTTCACTGCCTGCTGCGCAAGCTCAAGGACCTGAGTTCGATCTCTGGTACCAAAAAAATTTTTTTTTAAATAATTTCTTTGTAATTTGATTAAGAACATATTAATTTCATTTTATTAGTTTTATTTATTTTAATAAACAAATCTTATTTCAAAATTCTTTTATATGACTTGCTGTCACATTCCTTTAGAACTTTGAAACTATGTTTTATACCTACAGAAAAGGTATAGTAGCAGCTGAGAATGACTCTTTTGGAGTGTAGTAGTAGTAACTGTGAAGCAGAAGTCAGGGCTCTTTTCTTAAAATTCCCATGCTGGGCGTGGTGACTCACATTTTAATCCCAGCACTCTGGAGGCTGAGGCAGGAGGATTGCTGCAAATTCAGGCCAGCCTGTGCTACATAGTGAGTTCAAGGGCAGCCTGAAATGTACAGTAAGACCTTGTCTCAAAAATGCCAAAAAAAAAAAATCCCAGTATGTGTACACTTCCTAAATCCAATGGCTATAAAAATTTTAAACAATATTTTAACATAATATTTTTATCACCAATTTTTCTTTTAAAGTGTTCCCTTTTGTCACTTAGTTTATTGATTTTCCTGGGTTTGACATACTAAGTATTCTGTGAGATGACATATATGCTTTCCTTGAAAGCTTATTCTCATGAGTTACAGTAGCTGAGTTCCTTTATGTTTGTGCTGTTTACTGAAGTACCTGGCACAAAATGTTTCAAAACCTAGAGCAGTAGTTTTATATAAATCCTCATGAGTTTGTTCTCATTAATCTAATTGTTTATCAACTCATAATTTGTGCAATAATGCATGTAGATTCTGAGTTGTCAATTTTTAAAAAACTGTGGCCTCTTTATGATGATGAAAAAGGATCATTACTTAGCAGGTAATGTGCCAGCTAGGTGTGGTGGTGCATGCCTCTAATCCTAGCCCTTGGAAGGCTGGTGCAGGAAGACTGTGAGTTCAAGGCCAACCTGGTCTACATGGTGAGTTCAAGGTCAGTAAGGACTATATAGCAAGACCCTATCCCAAAACAGTAACAACAACAAAACAAAAAAAGAAAAGAGGTAACGTATCCTTAATGATCCAGTCAAGGTGGAATGGATTTTTCATTTTAAACAGACCCCAGTGTTCAGTGCCTAGTGTTTTGTTGCCCTCAGTCAACCCAGGTCTGACAAATCTTGGTTTGACTTCAGCCTTCCACTTACTAGTTGTGCGACCTTAGGGAGGAAACTCCCTAACTTCTTGGAGCCTGCATCCTTATTTGTAGATGACAGGAAGGTTAGGTAATGGGTGTAAAGTTCTTGATAATGCCAGTTGTTCAATCGCTATTATTTAATGTTATGCCCTAGCAGGAGATCTTTCTCCCTGGAGGTTCACTCTTGGACTCTTCTTAAAAGTAGGGTCATGACCACCATCACTCTGCAGCTGATTTACTAAACTGAAAGCTGCATTTTGCCAAGATCCCAGGGATTCCTTTGCACACTCAAGTTTGATAAGTACTGGTCCAAGTCACGCATGCTCTTGTCTTCCTCTCTAATTTCAGGCACCTGCCCAAGAGTTCTGTAAGCCCTGGAACCTCCGCATCTGCATCCTTCTCCAGGAGCACTGATTTGCCCTTCAGAGTGAGGGGCAGTCTCTCTGGCTCATTCCGTGTGCACCTCCCACTGAGGAGGCAAAGCGGGCTCCCCAAACCCTTGGCTTCTTCACAGAGCTCTGAGCAAGTGCCTGGGAAGCCAAACGATGGCTCGAAACCCAATCTTGCTTTCTCCTCAGTCCCAGGCCTGCTCCCACCTGGCAGAACATGGTATGGAAGGTGAGAGAAGCCCATTCTCCAGAGAGCTGGGTAGAGACTCCCCATCTCCCTTGGGCCAGGTGCTCAGCTCTGGCCTCACTGACCCTGGCTGGTTTTGGGATGACCACATCCAGGTGAAGAGAGCCAGAGTGGAAACCATCGTCCAAGGCATCTGTCTCTCCCCCAGTCCTCTGGTCCCAGGCAATGCCCGAGCCAGGAGTAGCTCATACTCCTTAGAGAAGACCCCGGAGCGGAAGAGGAAGCAGAGCGTCCCTGTGCAACAATTCCCCCTGCAGCCAGGCCCTGCCAGGAACCGGACCAACTGGGAGGGGAGCCCCAGGGTGAGAGAACAACTTCACCAGCTGAAACAACAGCTAAGGTGTCTGCAGGAGCACATCCTGCAGGCTGCTATGGCCGGGAGTGCAGCTCAGGGGCCAGGATGCTTGGAGCCAGGGAAAGACCCTCTGAATGGAAAGCAGAGGAATGGCTGCAGACCTCGCCCCTGGGCTGCCAACAGTGACCTCAGAGGGGCAGAAAAACACAGAGCGTCTGAGGTCCAACATCTGTCTGAGGAGCTCAGATCCCTTCCTTCTGGAGCACAGGGTTTGCTGGAGGTTCTGAAGAAAGAACTGACCGGGGCAGTGTCCCAGGCTGTGGACTCAGTATTACAAAATGTGCTGATGGATCCACCCAGCCACCTGACTCAGCAAGGCAGGAGCTTCCAGGGACTAGTGCCAGAGGGTAGAGGTGAGCCCTTTCCTCCTGGAGGAGGTGCCTATAAAGACCTACATGTTCTGGCCACCTTGCCTAGGAGGGTCCAGACACAAGCAGGGACCTCTTTGGGAAATTCATCACTGGCCAAGCCTCTAGATTCTCCTAGATACTCTGTCTCTCCAAGAAGCATCCCCAAACCCTATCACAGTCCCACAGCAAACTACCCTTTGATGGTGCATTCCCACATTCAGGAAAATCAGATTCTTAACCAGCTACTGGGTCAGGGACCCAATGGCCATTGGAGCAGTGGTCCTCCCCGGGACTCGGCTCCCCAGAGGCACCCCTCCTTAGAGTCTGCCCTGTGTCCCTGGGTTCTGAGCCAGCCGTTCAGCGTGGCTGGTCTGGAGAGCCGGCCCCTCCTTCCCTCTGTGAAGATGGAGCAGGGCAGCCTGCAGGCTGTACCAGATGTACCTCCTTTCACTTCTGTCCACATATCCTTTACTAGTCATTGACAATCTCTTGGTCACTGCCCGGAGAAATGAGAAGATTGGAAGTTGAGATGAAAGTGAAGACTTTAACTATAACTGTACTGCATAGGGAATAGATTTGTGTACCCATGGTCTTTTTCTTTTCTCCATTCATTCTCATTCTCCCTCTCTCCCTGCCTTCCTCTTTCTTTCCTTTCTTCTTTTCTCTTTCTCTATTCCCCTCTTCTCCTCTTCCTCCCTCTGTCTTTGTCTCTGTCTCTCTATGTCTGTCTGCCTCTGTCTGTCTCTCTCTCTCTCTCATACATACTAGGGTCTTCACACTGAGCTACATCCCCAGCCCTTTTAAATTTTAAGACTAGGGATTTAGCTGAGCAGTGCTGAGCCTGCCTGGAAAGTGTAAGGTACTGAGTTCCATTTCCGGTACTGAAAAATAAAAGAATAAATTTTAAGACAGGGTCTTGCTAAGTCACCCAGGTTAGGTTCAAACTTGTGATCTTCCTGCCTCAGCTTTCCAGTGCCAGGAGTATAGGCACATACCACTACACCAGGCTTCTCATGGTCTTCTTAATATTGCTCCTGGACCTTCCTTTCTCATGACACATCCTACTTACTGACCGAGTGGAAACCACATTCTAGAATTTGGGAAGGTTCATTTACTTTCTTCTGTGATCCATTAGATTCTGCCATGACTGACTTGTTCCTTTGGGTCTGAAGGAGTTTGGTTTGTTTGCTTTTAAATGCAAATGGGAGGGCCAGGGATTTAGCTCAGTGGCATGGCACCTGCCTTGCAAGTGCAAGGTCCTGAGTTCGATCCCTGGTACCAAAAAGACAAAACAAAACAAAGCACTTAAATGGGGTGCCGGGCATGGTGATGCACACCTGTGATCCCAGCACTTGGGAGGCTGAGGCAGGAGGACTGCCATAAGTTTGAGGCCAGCCTGGGCTACATAGTGAATTCAAGGCCAGCCTGAACTATGTAGCAAGACCCTGTCTCAAAAACAAAACAAACAATAAAACACCTCAAATGGGTCTCCAAAATATGATAAATACCACCTGGAAGGAAGAATCCTGTAATTTGGTTGTCAGCTGCCATGGCCCTAGGCAGAGCGTTTAAGGAATGACTTCATCTGAGGTATGGCTTCCCCAACCTTCCCTCATGGCTCTCCAGGCAAAAAGACTGCATGGTCTAGATAATCCACAGGGGATCTTCTGGGGCAAGAGTACTTTTCCTTAGGGACTAGAAATAAAAAGCAGCTGTCCTGAAGAAGTCAGAGGAGTTCAATTTAAGGAACAGCTTCCAAGCCGGGATGGAGCCCAGGGGTGGACACAGAGGGAGAGGACACAGAGGGAGAGGACCCCGCCTCCCACAGTGGGGAAACCTGCAGTGTTTCCAAGACTAACCACGGGATATTAACAGTTGTTCAGTTAGAGAAGAAAAGTAGATTCTGGGTTAGTTTCTTTACTGTGGGGCCCCTCAGAGCCTTTAACATGCTGATGTCTGATGTGAAGCTTTGGGAGGAGAATCTAGGCAGCCCCAAAGATCCCTCTTCCAACAAGCATTTGCAGCACTAAAGTTCCTGAGATCGTATTTTGGATGTTGCCCCCCACCCCGGCTCCCGCCCCGCTGGGAGACAGGGTCTCCCTATGTAGCCCGGGCTGCCCTCTAATTTCATGGCAATCCTGCTTCAGCCTCCTGAGTGCTGGGATTGCAGGTGTGCGCCACCATGCCTGGCAGATGTTGATTTAAGAAAGTTATGCCCACGCTGCTGTTTCTTATGCGCAGCCTTGAGCCCAGGCTTCAAAGGTTAATGTGTCTGTGGAATTTAATATCAAGGTGTGAACAGTTCTGTCCTCGGCTTAACAACAGCAGGATGGGATGGAATGGGGCGGGCTCACTACCATGCTAGAGGCCACCCTGTATCCTAAGTGCTGTGAGCGCCCCCTGCTGGTGATAGAAGCACTCCACAGTTCAGGCTTTGCTGGAGGAGGAAGCAACTGTAAAACCAAGAACGCTTCATTTGCCACCACTTCCTCTTCGGGCAGTAGGAACAGTCTTGGAGGTAGAGAGATACTAGCACGGACTGATTTTTCTGTGTAAAAAAGCTACCTATCTGGGCCTTTGATAAGAGACCACTGGCTAAGACCCTATTAAATTTATTTAGGCATCAGGGAAAGAACCTTGAGAAGACTGGGTCCTCAGCATTGCTGATATTTATCAGACGTGTGCTTGTCCGTGCCCTGTGACACAGGTGCAGAGAGCTTCAGGAGGGTTCAGGCTCATGCTAAGAAAGACCTGGCCAGGCCTGCTTGGACAGGGGAAGTACGAGGCTACCTTGGGAATGCTTTGGGGGCCCAGGCAGTATCCTATCCCCTATTATTTTTCTTCCTCCCTGCGGCCTACATTCCACACCTGAGAGTGATTCCCGTGGACCGTGGAAGCCACTTAAGAGCAGGCTGCTTTACTGAGAAAAGGAATGTTCACAGTCACAGGCCTTCCCTGGAACAAGGCAGGGCAGGTGTGAAGGTCTGGGCGAGCTTGGCATTCACTGAGCACCTTCTCTGTAGGGCAGGTGGCTCGTGTGTGCCTGCCTCCACTCACCACAATTCTGAAGATCATAGAGCTCTGCAAAGCCCTTTGATTTCTTTTCCCTTTAAAGTGATTCAAGCTTTTTTGGTGGCAAAATCTGATGTAAACAGACTGGAGGCTATTTGTAGACTTTATCCCACTTAGCATAAAGTCATTTTGCTGTAGGAATGTCAGTATACTGAATTACAGATTGCCTCTGCTGTGGGTATTAACTAACAAACAGTGAACACACGTTATGCCATACAAAATAATAGAAATTCTGAAATCTGAACTCCATTTGCCCCAGGGTTTCAGATAAAGGGTTGTGGGCCTAGATTATCTCACAGTCCTCTAGTGTCCACTCTAGGGTCAGGTATCTGAGAAGCAGAGACAAGAAACAAACTTGCCCAATGTCACCAGACAGACAAGTGAGGAGCCAGGATTCAAACTCAAGATCTGATGGCCAAGTACAAGCTTTGACCACTACACTCTGTTTTAGAAAGGTGGCCCAGAGAAGTTAAGTGGCTTGCCCAAGGTCACAGAGCTAATAAGTGGTCAAGTCAGTTTCTGTAGGCTCCCAAACCCTAGATTCTTTCCCACAGCATTAAAGAGTCGGTAGGAAGGATAAACAGGGCTAACAGGGCCAGGGACAAGGGTCTTCAGCATAGCTGGCCTAGGCCAGCTATAACCATAGTGGGTTTGGTTTCTTTTGGTTAAAATGATTTATCCTACTAGTAAGTCTTAATTGTCCTAAATCTCCAGTTCTTGGACCTGATGCTAAAGATTACTCGGTAGGATTCTTTTCCCTAAGCCTCAGAGTGTTCCTGGGAATGTTAAACATTCTTGTGTGAGTCTTTACTTCCCTCCTTTGTGGAACTAGGGAGTCATACCACAGCATTCCTGCTCTTGTTAAATAGAAAGGAATCTGTCCCAGGGTGAGTTATGCTTTGCAGCCTAATTTCCATATATGTGTATGGATTAAGGTCGACTCACTCCTTCATCCAACACACATTTATTGAGCACCTACTATGTGCCTAGCCCAGTGCTAGGCGCATAGAACACAAAGATAAAAAGATATGGTCCTTGCCCTTAAAGAGCTCACAGTTTAAATGAGGAGACAAACATGCAGTAAAAATTCCATAGGGTCATTGCTATGACAGAGGTTTGTACAAAGAGCCATGGGAGCCCAGGGTGAGGAGGGCCTAATGAGGCAAGAAAGGTTCCACAGGGAACTGATCTTCTGAGCTGGGACCTGTGAGAGGCAGATGCAGCCAACAGTTCAAGTTTTTTCACTGAGCAAGAGCACAGTGGGGGCTGCTACTCGGCCTGGGTACATATGGCCTGGATTCCACCTGCAAAGCCAATTAGAATGACCCCAAGATTGGAGACCTTATAGGCAGCTCCTCTCGCTTTCCAGGTGAAGAAATTGAGGCAGAGAGGAAATAAATCTTTACTTGGGGTTTCAAAATGGTTTATCTGGGATAGAGTTGCGCTCTCTACCCATCCCATTCTGAAAGACTGAATACACATAGCACATCAGTATTCGATATCTATACATCCCATATGATATACTTTTACACAGCAAGGTATTTTCAAATTCTGCAACTTCACTCTGTGTGTATGGCATCCAGCTTTTCTGACAAGTTTTCAGAAAGAGAAAAATGAAGAAAATACTCCATTCAACCAGAAAAAAGAAAAAGAAAATAGAGGCCACAAGGAATGGGACACACACTATTTGGATGATCTGATAAAAGTAATTCATAAGCTAGTGTTTTAAAATGTTAACTTTCCGGGCCAGGGATTTAGCTCAGTGGTTCTGCCGCTTGCCTCGCAAGCGCAAGGTCCCGAGTTCGATCTCCGGTACCAAAAAAATTAAATAAATAAAATAAAATAAAATAAAATGTTAACTTTCCTTGACACTGAAATAAATCCAGGAAGGCCTAAACCCTGGTCACTTGAAGAAGGCCAAACTCATATTTTTCTTCGCACGGTACCCCAGTTCCAGCCTCCTGAAAGCTTATTTCCCTGATGTTCAGGTAAAGTCATTCACTGAGGTCCAACCTCTGCACAGCTCCCAAGTGGCTGTATGTTTTACCTTGTGTGGAGCAAGTCCAAGGTCCTCGCTTCAAGCTCCCCATGTTGTTGATGGACTCATGGAAGTTCTAGTTCTGGGGAGAGAGTACTGGAATAATCATGGATAGCTTTGAGCTAAGAAGGTTGGGTAACTGAATTTTTAGGCTTTTGAGCTGTGGATAATCCTAGAAACACATGGGAAGGAAAAGTAGAGGGAAAGAGAAACATTAGTAGCAAGTGGACTCTTTAGCCTCTTTTTCTGTCTTTATGTATTCTGACCTTATGAAGAAGAAAGACTATGTACCGTCAGACACCATCAAACTTACATGAAGGTCGCTGTGTTTCCAGGCTGAGTGAAAGTACATATAAATCAAGTATATCAGTAAGGAAAATCAAACTGATTGTTGGAGCCAAACCTTGCCTGTTGCCATAAAAGTGGATCTATCCCATTCAAGTTTTTCAGGTCTTTCCCTTAGATTCAGTTGCTTGGTTGATCCCTGAAGACAACTGACTGCAACTCCAAGTTGTCAATAAACTCCTCTCTGATCCAGACTCTGACCCCTTATCAGGTAGAAGGCTCTTGAGCTGCCATGCTAGCATCACAGTGGCCTTACCCTAGTAGACCCTCCCAAAGTCATACTTAAGACAACATAAAAAGGTTCTCATGGGTGAAAACACTTATAAATTCAGTACATAAAATTCTTTATAAATGGACATTGGAGCTAATTCAGATATTGTGAGTCCAACTGAGTAGGAAAACAGTGCAGCTTCTTTTTCTAAAGGAAACTCGTTACCTTGGGTGAATCCATTCACATTACCCCACGCTAAACTGGATGCTAACAGTTCTAGTTCTGAGCCCCCCACGGCAGATGTCTGACTTGATGGACCTCTTGTTTCCACAGTTCAACCGCTGCATTACCTCCCAGATGATCAAGTGGTTCAGCAACTTTCGTGAGTTTTATTACATCCAAATGGAAAAATTTGCCCGGCAAGCAATTTCAGATGGTGTCACAAATCCCAAAATGCTGGTGGTTCTCCGCAATTCAGAACTTTTTCGAGCTCTCAGTATGCACTATAACAAAGGAAGTGACTTTGAGGTAAGACAAAACACCAGGGTTCCATGAGGTATTTTGAAGTGTGTCTTCTCTATATGTTTGGTGTTTCAGATAAGAGCCTCTCACTGACAATCATGGTGGCCGGGGCCAATCTCTATCAATATTACCCAGAGATTATAGCCCCAGCATCTTTTCAGGCAATAGGTAAATGCAGCAAATACAGCAAGTCTTCATGCTGAAGTTTATACAGCAGCCTACCAGGTCTAATGACAGTCTAGACTTAATAATTTGTAATTATCAAGTTAGATAACTTGACCTTTTGCCTTAGTATCAAGCTCAGAACTAAATGCTGGGCTCAGGTGCAGGAGCTATCTTGGCCTAGGTTTTAACAATTTGTTCTTTTAATCATTTGGTTCTTCTCTGTATTCTTAGCTAACAGTCTTACCTGTTGGCCTTTTGTGGCAAGTCACTTCAAATTCTTCCTGGAAATACATGCATGTGGTACATGCCTGTAATCCCAGCTACTCAGGAGGCTGAGGCAGAAGGACAGCAAGTTTGAGGCCAGCCTGGGGGATCTCCATGAAGGCATACTGGTGGCACCTTAAAGTGAATCTAGGTGTTATTGGTGTGAATTCTCATCATGAGACATGCATAGCCTCTTGGGTGGCTGCCAACTATTAGGCTGGCATCTTATTCTGCAGGTTCCAGGTGTAGTCTGTTAGACTATATTTCCCTCTTCTTGCCTTTCTCAGTTGACTGTGACCACAGGAGCAGTTTATTGGCATTTCCAAAAATGTTAAGTCTGCCAGTTGGACTTTCAGCCAGAATGGTTGAAAACATAAGCCTACACTGGTCCCAGGCCAGCGTGGGATGCAACATTGCTGGATCTTCCCATGTTGGGGTGTTCACTTGATAGGCCATGATGGGAAGCCTCAGGCCAAGCTGGACCTGGTGGATGTGTAGGACATCCATCACTTATGGTGCCAGTTTCAGCAAGGGTTCTGGAAAAGCCCACTCAACAGGGCTTGAGGAATGTAAGCCCTAAGATCCAGCCCTAAGGAGTGGTGGGATGAAGTACAACAGTCATGAGCTCGGGGACAATCTTTTCTGCAAAAGGTATACAGAAAAGAATGCTAAAACATCTTTGGAGCACAGATTTACTTTGAGTTAGAGCTTCCTACTTACTAAAAGATCCCCATTAGTGGAACCAGTTCCTCCAACAAAATACATTTTGTTCCAGAGTTGTCTCATTATAACCGTCATTTTAAGGTTTGTGTTTGATGAGGGAGTAGGGGATTCCTTGGGCTGCAGAAATTCAGGGCTGGTAGAACAGGAATGCTCTTAGCCACCACCCAAGGAACAGACAGCATCAGCCAGCGGGGTCTCTGTGGTGCCAGTGCTTCCCAGCCTCACGTCTTCTCTTTCTTGTGGGTCTCTTTGGGAATGCAGGTTCCAGACTGCTTCTTGGAAATCGCCACCTTGACGTTACAGGAGTTCTTCAGGGCTGTCTCCGCAGGGAAAGACTCAGATCCTTCCTGGAAGAAACCCATTTATAAAATTATTTCGAAACTGGACAGTGACATTCCAGAGATATTCAAATCTTCCAGCTATCCTCAGGAGCTATTGCAGAGTTAATATCAAACAACATGAGGAGTGACTGGCCAGAGTTTCCTGAGTTTGTCTTAAATAGCATTTTAGATGTAGTCATATAAAAAGGGTACTAGGAACCTCCCCCAATAGATAGTTTCCATTTTAATCACTTATTTCCCTTTGCAGAATCATCAATTTTAACTTAACCATAAATACATCAACTAAGTGTAATGGTGTGTTGGTGGTATACTGTAAAATAAACCCAAGTTGGAATCAGAAGACTGAATCTCAACTCCACTGTTGCCAGGTGTTGTGACCCTGGGAACTTCCAGCATTTCTGCATCTGTAAAATAAGGTTGTAAAGATTCAAAGATAATATGTCCTAAAGTGCTCTGTGAAAATGGCACAAATGTTTCTCCCCTTCTCCCAGTTTTTAATAAGGTCATCTTATATGGGTTTTTATAAATGGCTGTTTTTTTATTTTAGTTACCTATATATGAAGCTTCACCTGTTTGCTAGATGTTTTCGCATATAGCATCTTTTAAGATTTTTTACCCTGAAAAGCAATTATTATCTTCATTTTTAAAATAACCACACAGAAGTTTGTGAACCATGAGGTAACTCCCCAAAGGCGGTGAAGCTGGGACACTTGGGTTGGTAGGCACAACAGGATTGTGAGCCAGACTGCATGCTGGACTGGCACATGCTGGCACTCGGGATCCCAGATGGGAAACAATGCCTGTGGCACTGTCATCTGAAAACCCCTACCTGGCATTTAGGACTGATGGTTTCAACAACCTCAACACAAACTGCCTGCAGAACTTGAGTGTTGCTATTTGTTCACATCTGTCTGCTGGGAGAGTCTGTCAGCTGGACAACCCAAGTAGTCTCTACCTGACCAATGCAATTGATGCCTTAACTTTTTTTCAGTACTGGGTATCAAACTCAGGACCTTGAGCTTGTGAGGCAGGTGGCAGCACCACTGAGCTAAATCCCTGGCCCCAGTACCTTAACTTTTATGGGCACAAGAATAGAACTTCAAACTGTGAAAGCTAGAAAGAGTCTTAGGAAATCTTCTGGCCCACCCTACTTAAATTAGGGAGAAAACAGGTCTAGTCTGAAGGTTGGCACAACCGGTGCACAGCCTCTCAGGTGATGAATAGCATAACTGAGACAAACACAACATTACACACAGAAACGGAAATTCTCCCACTCTATAAAGAAATTAAAGTCAAATGTCCACTGATGAAAGAATCCATGAAATCTACACTTTCTTTTTCCTACTGGCCCAACACAAATTGTGACTCAGTCTGAGCATACAGGAAGGACATCTGCAAAGCTGAGCAACTACATGTCTTCTAAACTAGTCAGAACCAAGTTGGTAAGCACTGCCAAAGGTGTGTGGGATGGGGTGGTGATAATACATGGTCCAGGCTTTGGAGTCCTGAGTACAGGGTGAATGCATTAACTTATTTCCTTTCCATTTACATAAAACAAGTTTAATATTCAGCTCCAGCTAGCACCCCATGACTTTATGGGGGGGTGCAAGCTGAAGATAAAACCCCTAAACTATTGCTAATGGTGTCTGCATAAGAAGTTTATGGGTTAAGAGTTCTCACTCTTCAGTGCTAGGAATGGAACCCAGGGTTTTCTGCAAGCTAACTAAGCACGTGCTCTACTGCTGAGCCACACCCCCCAGCTAAGGGTTAAGTGTCCTTCAATTCATTTAATTACACTTGGACCATCTTTGTCCTATTTACTCCCTTTATTACAATGAAGGAATCTGCCAAACTCAAGATTTAAGTAGGCAAGAATTAAGCACTCTTGGCAAGGGCAATCAGTTGTTTGGAGACAGAAGATTCCACTCTCTAGAGTGACATTACATAGCTATTGAAGACATTCATGGGAAACAACTCCAAGTTCACACAGTTGTCCAATATAGAGCAGCCCCTTTCTAAAACTGTCCCAAACCTGAAATTCATTAGTGTGTGTTTTAAAGACTGAGCCAAGCCATCTCCAGGGCAATGAACCTTGTTCTGAGGACCAATTCGATGAAATGTGCAAGCTCAAACTGAAAACATTTATGTACCGCAGTCTTTCCAGGATGTGTTCTCTAACCATTGAGCTAAACACAGAAGAATGTATAAATACATACACTCTGCCAACAGTGGAGTTTTATTTTATTACAGTTTTCTACCAAGTATATCTCTTTTCAGTGTTGGGAATGCTTTCTGAGTGTTGAACTAGTAAGCTGAACTAGTTATTATATTCTTTCAGCAATCCTAACACTCCCAAAGGTCTGGTGATTCCTCCCATTAAGGTATATGTAGGTACTGTGCTCTTCCAAATTAGATATGTTCATAAGTCTGGTCAAAGCACTGTCTGTTCATAAGCCCTGCCTTGTTGTCTAATTTTCAATGGTGGATGACAGGCCTGGGCTGGGGAGTGTGATGACAGCACCCTTGAAGAACAAAGGCCCAGTTATCCCAAAAAGCAGGCAGTTAGCTGGCATTTCATGAAGGAAAAGGTTCTTTATGAACCTTCATTTCCAACATGGTTTCACAGCGTGTGCACAACTCCGAATCAGACTCAGTGAGAGGTCAAAGGCATCACCTGGGCATACAAGGGGTTCCTTGGATCACTTTTTTTCTGCCAATGAAAGGGGAAATCATAAACAGCAGAGATAAAAGTTCTACACCTCCACCTCATTACAGAAGTCCACTTCAAAAACACTGTCTGTTTTTAATGACAAAATATAGAATCCTCACTTGGGAGGCTGAGGCAGCAAGATCTCCATGAGTTTGAGGCCAACCTGGACTACAAAGTGAATTCAAGGCCAGCCTGAACCACATAGTGAGACTCTGTCTCAAAGCTTCCCATATATATAAACATATATATATATATATATATAACACACATATACATATATATGTATATATACCTCTACACATATATATGTATATATACATCTACACACACATATATATGTATTGATGCTCAAAAAAATTAATTCTGCTAAAATTTTTGTAACTTGTTTCCTAGATGAAGTTTCATATATTCCAAATATCATAATCATTGATTCTACCTCTTTCCTTTGCAGTTTTGATCATTTACTCTGAAAGCAAATCAAAGTTTGATTTGTATGCATCCAAAACAAAGCAAAACTTAAAAATCCTTTGATGTTTTTATAAAACTGTTAAGTATTTGCATAGATTTCACATAATGCAAGTTGGCTTAGTAATGAGAAAAACAGAAAAGTAACTACGACAATGGATAGGAAACACTTTAGCTAAAATGTTATAGTTTCATCAGGCTGATGATTAAACTATGTATATTGGAATTTGAAGAGTGTTCTACAGTTCTTTTGCTATTGTTGCTGCCACCAGGGATTGAACCCGGGGCATCACGTGCAGGTACATGCTCTACTACTGAGCTACATCTCTCACCCATGCTTTACAATTTTTAGTTGCTTCCAGGCTTGATGTTTTTGGGGAAAGGATAAGCCTGCAACAATAATGGTGAATATAGTACTTCTGACAGTATAAAAGTATTCTTGGTCAGTTACAGTAAGTACTCAGGCTCACATCTGTAAAGTGTATGCTCTTGTGATCTACTTGAGTGTTAATAATGCACGTTGTACCCCAGAGGTAGATCATAGAACCTACACTTACATATATTTATTAAGTGCTCACCTGTGGAAGATGATTCACAAAGAGTATTTTCCAGAGTTAGATGTTTATAGATGAAGATAAAGCTCTTTCAGACTATACAATCCTAAACAGTATAACCAAGTGCTCAAGAGTTGAATGCTAAGTCATAATTTAAAAGCAAAACCCAAGCAGACGCTAGCTTCCAGATGAAGAAGGCAGTGTCTAACAAAAGCCCGAGGGCAGATATAGACAAGATAAATAGTAGAGGAACATCCACCCCAAACCTCACCAGCCTTACATGTTCATCTGTTCATACAGTCTGCCTTCTCTTGCACCAAGTCTTTTGGAAGTAATTTAATTTCTCACAATCTCACCTCTTTATGTTCACAAGCTCTTGCTTTGCCATTTCCAAATTTTGCAGTCAGGTTCAAACAAATGCCAATTCTTATTTTTTTTCCCTTAGAAAAATCTTTTTCTCCTATTTACAGATTTCTGGGTTGGACTTTTTTTTTTTTTTTTGGTACTGGGGATTGAGCTCAGGATCTTGTGCTTGAGAGGCAGGAGGCGGAACCACTGAGCTAAATGGCCGCTCTTGTTGGATTCTTATCTCTTAAAAAACAGCTTCTAGGGCCGGGGATTTGGCTCAGTGGTTTCGCCGCCTGCTGCGCAAGCACAAGGACCCGAGTTCAATCCCTGGTACCAAAAAAAACCCCCCAAAAACAAAAACAAAAACAGCTTCTGCCAGGATTTAGCTCAGTGGTTCTGGCGCCTGCCTCACAAGCGCAAGGTCCTGAGTTCAATCCCCGGTATAAAAAACAACAAAAAACAGCTTCTGGCCTGGAAAATCAATCAGCCATAGGCAAGAATGTTGTCTGTATTCTCCCCTTTTCCTCACTTAATCCTCAGGTATCTGACTGATGCTGCTTCCCTGACCTCTTTTGCCTCCTTACTCAGCCAATACCTTTCCTGAGTATTGTGGGAGGTGCATGGGCTCAGTCACCCACCAGCTATGGACCTCGGTAAGTTACTCTCTTGGCCTCAGCATTCCCATCTGTAAAATACTGGTAATAAAACAGTACTTATCTCATAGTACTATTGTAAGGTTTAGCTAAAATACTACATGTGAAATGTTTAGCACACTCCTAGTGAGTAGTGTTGTCAATGAATGTTAGCTGTATTATTGCTCAGCTGTCACAAAATGTTAGCAAAATCATGAATTTGTAGTCTTACAAGAAAAAATTATTTAATGGCACTGATATGATATTACTGATGTAAAACTTTTTTTTTGGTACTGGAGATCGAACTCGGGACCTTGTGCTTGTGAGGCAGGTGGCAGAACCACTGAGCTAAATCCCCGGCCCTTGTAAAACATTTTTGAATTTTGCTTTTACTATAACCATATAGTAACAAGTACTCATGGCTGTGATGGGAGCATAATACCTAGTTTTAGACTGTTAACATATTTTGGGGGCAAAAAGTCTTATGCTGTAAACAATATGCATCACCTCAGCTACTCTTTTGATATCCTACGTAGAAGTATTTGTCATATGATATAACTACTACTGCTGTTTGCTAGTTGGTTTTTCTTTTCCTTTTTAAAGTTTTAATTTTTTAAAATTTTGAGACAAGGTTTTGCTAAGTTGCCCACACTGGGCTTGAACTTGTATCCTAGTTGTTTAAAACACACTTTTGTCTTTCACAGGCCAATATAGTACACCACACTTCTGACATTCTTTGTGACTAATGTATTTCTGAAATTATGCAACTTGCCATCCGTATTGCTTTTTTTTTTTTTTTTGGTACTGGGGATCAAACTAGGGACCTTGTACTTGCGAGGCAGGTGGTGGCACCGCTGAGCTAAATCCCCGGCCCTATACTGCTTTTTTTTTTGTACCGGGATCGAACTCTGGTCCTTGCGCAGCAGGCGGCGAAACTACTGAGCTACACTCCCGGCCCCCTATACTGCTTTTTAAGGACTGTCTCTTTGTCCACTGAATAGACTGTTTTTTGTTTTGTTTTGTTTTGGTACCAGGGATCGAGCTCAGGACCTTGCGCTTGCCAGGCAGGTGCTGTGCTGCTGAGCTACATCCCTGGCCCTGAACAGACTTTTTGACCTGAATATTTTCTTGATTAACTTCTGTACATTCATTTGCAACATCTTTGGCTCTGTATTAAAAGATGCTGGTTTCTCTTTGTCTGGGTGAGGGGCAGGGAGGGAACACATAACCAACACAGCACTGATTTCCTCCCCTAACATTTAAAATCTATGTTCAGGGTTACTTGTCCATAAAGACTAGTTTACTTTTTTACTGAAAACAATCTACCCTCCTTTCTGATTTTTTTTTTCATTGACAGTCACTAATGTTGATTAACTTCTCTGCTCTCTCATGAATGGGCTGGTGGTTACCTTTTACACAGTATTCAAGATTCACTTTCTGTGTGTGCGCATGGGGGACAC